GTGACAATGAACTCGATAGTGATTGGCTACTCATATCTAGTGATAAATTAGCACTTGTGTTGAAAGATCTTGTGTTCTTGATCAATGTGCATGTACATGTAACAGGTGGAGAGAATCCTTTAACATTAGTGTGGCCAGGCATCGTAGGAAGTAGTTTATTTGTAGCAACAGAGGAAACAGAGCTTGCAGACAAAGTTATGAGAGGAGCTGATAGTTTAGGAGTGGGAGAAGAAACAAAAAGAAACTGAGACAATGAGTTAGGACTGGAGGAACTAGCAAGTGATGATGGAGACACTGAATGTTGCTTCTGAATGGCGTTCATCAGCCAAGGCAATGAAATACTAGTGGAAGTGGTTGTGCTGCTTTTATTTGAAGTTGCTATAGTGATGTGACTAACCCATGCATGAAGATTCAAGACAAGACAGGAGACGTTTGTTTGGACAACATTACCAGTTGGAGGAGTTCGAGTCTTAGGATTGATGAGATTAGAATATGCGTGGTCTTTGGCTAAGTTGGCTTTGATATTTTAGTGGTAGAATGAGAAAGAGGAGGAGGGAGTGAGAAAGGAGGGGAAATGACAGCTAGTTTTTTTTATTAATTTACTTGACGATGAGAATCGCTTGGGTTTAGATTGAGTTTTTTGAGTCTAAGGATATCTCTTTACTTCATGCAAAGTGAGGTGAGGCTTCACGAAACACAATGAATTAGAAGTGAAAGGTATATATAGTATCACTAGAGAGTCCAATAAGTCTCGAATCAAATTAAACATTTCGTCTAACATAAAAGGACATCAAAGGCCACATTTACAGGTACCAGCTGACGTCAAATAATGAAGAACCTCTTCACGAGAGTGGAGAGCTCTATTATCAGGACTACATGTAATAAAAATTAATTATAAATAAAAGATAAAAATAATTTTGCATACCTAATGTAAGTGACACGTCCCTTTTCCACTAGCCTCTGCCAGCCATGAGGTACAACTACTGCTGAGTTTGGTGGAGGTTCCATTTATTTTCTAAAAAGTATATAAAACAAAACAAAAATATAGCAATTTTCATTTACTTTCTGTACTAAAGAGATCTCATTACAAATCACATGTAAGCACCCGATCCGGAAACGCTCCCCGGCTAAAACATTCAGAAAAAAAGAAAACGTTCTCGGATCACTTATGCCGGCATGTGTTTTCAACAAAGCCACACCTAAAGCCAACAGTGACACGCCTAAGACTTCAGAAATATGGCGGATCGGGATGCCTCTCCTGGGCCTCTGCTAGTCTGGCTTACCAGACCCTGACACAGCAACTATTCAGCTCAATACGTAAGTATGTTGAAGTTATACAGTATCCTTAGTGTTGCAGGGTTTCTTGACAGGATTGCATGTATTGTTTTTGCA